GCTGGCTCTACGGCTTGGAGACAGGGATGAGCACTGCGCCCTAGAGTCGGACACGACTGGACTAAATGTCAAGGGGAACCTTTACCTTTATCTTTCTAAGTTGTAACAGTATCCTTCCAGAAACTACTACATCAGGAATTAGGAACCTTTCTCCTATAGGCTGGAAACTGCCTGCTGGGTGCCCCCTGCACAAGCACCTGTGGTTACCTCCAATTGGTGGTTCAATATAAGACACTATTTAATAGCATTTAAAACCCCTGCATAGAATAAGCTGCAATTGCAAACCTAACCACGATTGCATAGACTTGAGCTGTGCTTTGAAGGCCTTAAAACTGTTGCCTTGGTGTGACATCCCTCATCCTCCCTCAGCTGGATTGCCGGTTTACTCAGCTCCTGTCCATTGATCTGGCCGTTACTACCTAAAACAAACATCCAGTGTGCTCCTTCACATTCTCTTCTCCATACATATGGGACCCTTGGACCCCTTTTCCAACCTTCACCTCACTCTGGAGAAAAATTTTAATCTAGCCTTTTGTTAGAACTTCAGTCCTTGGCCAATGTTACCACCACTTGTTCTCTAATGCAGTTTTTCCCAACATTGGGTCCCTAAGTGTTCCTGGACTAAAACCCCCAGAAGATTTCACCACTAGCTATGCTGGCCAGGATTTTTCGGAATTGTAGTCCACGAACATTGGGAGGACCCAAAGATTGGGAACCACTGCTCTAACAGAAAGATTTTATAAAGTTATATCCTTCTGTCCTTCTTCCCCTTTTCTGAGCTACACCCAAGCAGCCATTGAGGGGACTTATATGACATGAACTGACACTAACAAATAACCTGCACAATGACCAAAACAGAAACTGTGCTTATTTTTATAGCAGACTGAATTACAAAGGGTTGGAATAACAACAGTAAAAGCAAGTTAAATAGGTTTTGTGCCGCCTTTATCAACCTAAGGCATTACCTAACTGTTCACAAACTTAGCAAATCCTAATTCTGTCTGGCTCATTACTCATCTCACTGTCACACTCATAGTTCTCTTTTATCATAGCTCACAGTCTATCTATGTCTAATCCATTTTCATCCCTAACTCTAATCCTGTTTTATCTGACATTCTAAACACTCACCCACTCTTACATACACTTTCCACCTCCAGCCGGGGAAAGAAGTCAATGACCATAAAGTTCCATGGAGACATGTTTTCCCATTTCCAACTGTCACTCATCTCTCTTATCTGTCACTCATCTAACATTACTAACATGTCATTCAGCCCATTCATTCTATCGTATAAACTGCTAACTTCTCCCATATATGTAGTATATCACAGAAGTGAGTACACCCCCTCACATTTCATAAATATTTTAGTATATCTTTTCATGTGACAACACTGAAGAAATGACACTTGGCTACCATGTAAAGCAGTGAGTATAAAGCTTGTATAACAGTGTAAATGTGCTATCCCCTCCAAATAACATAACACACAGCCATTAATGTCTAAACCGCTGGCAACAAAAGTTGAGTACACTCCTAAATGACAATTTCCAAATTCGGCACAAAGTGACAATATTTTGTGTGGCCACCACTATTTTCCAGCACTGCCTTAACCCTCTTGGGCATAGAGATCACCAGAGCTTCACAGGCTGCCCCTGGAGTCCTCTTCCACTCCTCCATGATGACCATCACAGAGCTGGAGGATGTTAGAGACCTTGCGCACCTCCACCTTCTGTTTCAGGATGTCCCACAGATGCTCAATAGGATTTAGGTCTGGAGACATGCTTGGCCAGTCCATCACCTTTACCCTCAGCTTCTTTAGCAAGGCAGTGGTCGTTTTGGAGGTGTGTTAGGGGTCGTTGTCATGTTGGAATACTGCCCTGCGGCCCAGTCTCTGAAGGGAGGGGATCATGCTCTGCTTCAGTATGTCACAGTACATGTTGGCATTCATGGTTCTCTCAATGAACTGTAGCTCCTCAATGCCGGCAGTACTCATGCAGCCCCAGACCATGATTCTCCCACTACCATGCTTGACTGTAGGCATGACACACTTGTCTTTGTACTCTTCACCTGGTTGCCCCACACACGCTTGACACCATCTGAACCAAATAAGTTTATCTTGGTCTTATAAGACCACAGGACATGGTTCCAGAAATCCATGTCCTTAGTCTCCTTGTCTGCAGCAAACCGTATGTGAGCTTTCTTGTGCATCATCTTTAGAAGAGGCTTCCTTCTGGGATGAGAGCCTTGGAGACCAGTTTGATGCAGTGTGCAGTGTATGGTCTGAGCACTGGCACTTTGACCCCCCCCACCCCACCCCTTCAACCTCTGCAGCAATGCTGGCAGCACTCATATTCTATTTCTCAAAGCCAACCTCTGGATATGACGCTGAGCACGGGTACTCAACTTCTTAGGTCGACCATGGTGAGACCTGTTCTGAGTGGAACCCGTCTTGTTAAACCGGTGTATGATCTTGGCCACCGTGCTGCATCTCAGTTTCAGGGTTTGGTAATCTTCTTATAGCCTAACCCTAGGCCATCTTTATGTAAAGCAACAATTCGTTTTTTCAGATCCTCAGATAGTTCATTACATGCGGTGCCATGTGGAACTTCCAGCAACCAATCTGAGAGAGTGAGAGTGATAACACCTGCTCCCCCTTCATACCTGAGACTTGTGACACTAACGGGTCTCATGACACCAGGGAGGGAAAATGGCTACTTGGGCCCAATTTGGACATTGTCACTTAGGGGTGTACTCACTTTTGTTACCAGTGGTTAAGACATTAATGGCTGTGTGTTGTGTTATTTGGAGGGGGCAGCATATTTACACTGTTTTACAAGCTGTATACTCACTGCTTTACATGGTAGCCAAGTGTCATTTCTTCAGTGTTGTCACATGAAAAGTTATACAATGGTGACCCGCTTGACGATTACCTCGTTAGACGAAGAAATTGCTTAATGATGACATTTTTGCAATCGTTTTTGCGATAGCAAAACCATGTTCAAATAGGGAAAATTGCTTCACAATGATCGGTTCCCTGCTTCGGGAACCAATTTTTCGCTTAACGACGATCAAAACAGCTGATTGTCGGGCTTTCAAAATGGCCACCCGCTGTGTAAAATGGCTACCCGCTGTGTTTTAGGATTGATTCCTCACTTTACAGGCACTGGAAAATGGCCTATGGAGGATCTTTGCTGGACGCTGAGGTATTTCGCCCATTGGAACGCATTGAACAGGTTTTCAATGCATTTCAATGGGATTTTTACTTTCGCTTGATGACAATTTCGTTCTACAGCGATTTTGCTGGATCGGATTATCCTCGTCAAGCGAGGCACCACTGTACTAAAATAAAACGTGAGAGGGTGTACTCACTTCTGTGATATACTGTAGATATCCTCCACAACAAAATCAAACTGGAGGAGACTGAAACCATCATATCTAGGTTTATTCTTGAGCAGATATGTAGCCATATCTATTACATGGATGCAAGCCCTCCACACCTTCCCAAACTGAAATCTGACCCTAGCCCCAGAAAAGATTCGTTATCTGTGTGTGTACTAGACAACTGCTAGCTGTTATGTTTTATATACCTGGTCTTTCTGCATGTGACAGTACTAAAGCAGAGATGGCTATGCATATTGCTACGGTGACTTGAAAGCAGCAGCTCCCATCATTTATTTATTTACTCATTTGCTTTACTTACATCTTGCTTTCCTCCCAACAAAGGGGCTCAGGGCAGTATGCAACAACTTAAAAAGTATATAAATATTTAAAATACAATTAAACCTATAACAATATAAAAAAACATAACTAACTGAAAGCAAATTAATACAAAATTTAAAATGACAGAATATGCTGCATACCCATTATCTTAGAACTACAGCTAGAAGGGACCCTATGGATCATTAAGAACATAAGAACCTAAGAAGAACCCTGCTGGATCTGGCCAAGGGCCCACCTAGTCCAGCTTCCTGTATCTCACAGTGGCCCCACCAGATGCTTCTGGGAGCACACGAGACAACTAGATACCTGTCTCCTGATACCCCTCCCCTGCATCTGGCATTTTGAAGTACCTTCCTTTTAAGCCTGCAATCCAACATGATTATGGGGGGCTACACATTCCATACCCTGGCAGTATCCAACAATCTGTTCTGGGCACTAGCTGACAAACTAGGAATGTTGATGTGCTGTTTGTGCACAAACTGTCTTCTTGGAAAAGAAAATAATGACCTACATTTGCATTCTATTAAATAGAAGCACAGCTCATCCTCAACCATGGATATATGACCAGATAAACATTGAAATTAATAGAGAATGATGATTTTGATATGTGTTCAGAATATCAAATGTTCTTGAGTTACTCACTGAACAAGGTTTCCAGTCGAATCAAACATCTAACAAAATTGTCAAAATCAATTATTAGCTGATCGTCTGCAAAACGGGCCACAATGATTTGGTGCAGCTGACAATCCAGTTTAAATCCTAAAAGAGACAAGCAAACAAAATCTCATTGACATAGAAGCATTCCTGGATGGTTCGACTGAATATGGGGCAGTGCTTGCACTAGAAACAAGGAAGAAATGAATGTTTATTCCTGCAATGAATAAGGAAGACAATAATTACATAAACACAACTTTGAGAACCACAATTCCTTTATCAGCCATTTTAATGCCTATGCTATCTCACAGTATGTGGTCAGGATGGTTAGCAGAGTTGTGGACTTATTTGCATTCTTTAGATCTGCTGGCTTTTTTGAAAGGCTCAGGGGATTAGCAGAATCTGATCCACAGACAGGTTAAACTGCCAATCATTTATCTTGTGGAAGACAATAGACTGAAGGCAATATCAGAGGTCTTCAGTTTGAAAGATTTTAATTCTTGTGAACATCTTTAGTACCCCTGGCACTCAGAAAAGTGTATCTGAGCGGAAATGATTTCAAAATAGCTTTAAAGAAGTTAATACACCACGCCTTTCTAGGCAGCCTAGATTGTAGCAATTCTTAATGGCCTCAGGGGCATCTTTTTCTTTTGACAATAACAAATATACATAAGGGACTAAGCCATAATATAAAATCTAACTTTAAAAAAAGACCAGAAATTTCAAAAGACCTGTATTTTTTACATCTCTGTAATGTTGTGAAATATATAAACACACACACATATAGATATATATGTTTAATATATAAACACATATACTGTGTTTCCCCGAAAATAAGACAGGGTCTTATATTCATTTTTGCTTCAAAAACCACATTAGGGCTTATTTTCAGGGGAATTTTTTCTTTTTTTCATGTACAACAGTCTACATTTATTCAAATACAGTCAGTGTCATCTTAGTTTGGTTGCTGCACAATTCTACACAATGGTGGAGGGTGGGGTTTCACTTAACTGGGGCTTATTTTGGGGAAGGACTTACTTATATTATCAAGATTAGATCACTGTAACGCACTCTACGTGGGGCTGCCTTTGAGGCTGACACAGAAACTTCAGGTGGTGCAGAATGCGGCGGCCAGGCTCCTTACAGGAGTGAGAAAATATCAACACATCTCTCCAACGCTGGCCGCATTGCATTGGCTGCCCATCTGTTTCCGTGTCAACTTCAAAGTTTTAATGCTTAC